GTAAGTAAAAAATTAAAGAGTGAGTCTGTAATCCAGGTCACAGGGGCATTTTGCTTGGACCATACAGGATTATATTTTAATATGTGAGCAAGTGCTTTTTTAAAATCACAGTTAAGACATCCAGATTTTGAGTTCCAAAAAAAAGGAAAAGATTTGGCAGCCATAGGCACACACTGTCACATGTCTATAATCTGTTGAAGTTGCAAGTCAGCAGCCATTAGAGGGGCACGGTGGCCAGTCCACAGCCCCCACCAGCTGACCTCATTACTATTATTTACCTTCCCTAGTCCTGTAGACATGTGAATCTGTGGTCTCTACTCTAGAGGAACTGGACAAAGTTCAGGAATTAAGTTGGGGGAAAGACTGAAGAAAAAAAAAAAAAAAGACACAACCTGCATCACTTGGGAAACATTTCAATGAACTAGACAACAAAACACAGTGTTTTTCAATGTAGTATGTTGCAAATGGAGGAATCTGGAAAATAGCATGCTGAGTGAAATAAGCCAGTCCCAAAGGGACAAATATCATATCTTCTCCCTGATCTGTGACAACTGAGCACCTAAAAGGAAACCTGCAGAAGTGAAACTGACACTATGAGAAGCAATGATTTGCTCAGCCCTTGTCAAGATTGTCAAGGAACAGCTTACTATTTAATTCTTTTTAGTATTTTATTTTTCTGCTTAACACCATTGGTTGAACTCTTTAATTAACACAGAATTATTCTTAGGTGTTTAAATCCAACTGAAAAGAGTGGGAGGGGCTGTGGCTCACTTGGTTAATCTTCCGCCTGTGGTGCCGGCATCCCATATTGGCTCCAGGTTCTAGTCCTGGTTGCTCCTCTTCCACTCCAGCTTTCTGCTGTGGCCCAGGAGGGCAGTGGAGGATGGCCCAAGTGCTTGTGCCCCTGTACCCGCATGGGAGACCAGGAGGAGGCACCTGGCTCCTGGCTTTGGACTGGTGTAGCTCTGGCCATAGCAGCCATTTGGGGGGGAGGGGGGTGAACCAATGGAAGGAAGACCTTTCTCTCTCTCTCACTAACTCTGTCAAATAAATAAATAAATAAATACAATTAAAAAAAAATAAGAGTGGGAATAAGAGCAGGAGATGTTCAGCACACACTCCCTTGGACTTACCCCTAAGGGTAAAGCTAGAAACGTGCCATGGGACTCCAAATTGCATTAAGTTGGCAGGTACCAATGCTATTTTACTAGTTAAAATGATCAGTTTAAGTTCATAGCTAATCATAAAGATAGGATTAAGTGTCAAAGGGATCACATAAATAAGACCAGTGTCTGCTAATAATAATTGATAGAATTAAAAAGGAGAGAACAATCCAACATGGGAAGTGGGATAAACAGCTGACTCAGAATGACAAATCCCCTAAGCAGCATTCTGGCCTCAGAATCAGCCCTTAAGGCATTCAGATCTGGCTAAAAAGCCCAGGAGAGTTTCTCAGGAATGGAAAGCCAAGACACTGTGGGAAAAAATGACCTAAATGAAAGATCTCTGTGAGGGAGATCCCAGTGGAAAGAACAGGCCTTCAAAGAAGGAGCTACCTTTCTCTAAAGGGAGGAGAGAACTTCCACTTTGATTATGGCCCTGTCTAAAGTTTGTGAACTCAAGAGGCTTTCATAGCCTTGGCAGTTCATGACAAGAGCCTCAGGTGATTACTGACATCATAAATAAGAGTGTCAATTGTTAAATCAACAACAGGAGTCACTGTGCACTTGCTCCCTATGTAGGATCTCTGTCCTTCATGTGTTGTACTATGTGAATTAACGATAAAACTAGTCTTCAAATAATATTTTATACTTTGTGTGTCTGTGTGGGTGCAAACTGTTGAAATCTTTACTTAGTATCAAACTGATCTTCTGTATACAAAGATAATTAAAAATGAATCTTAATGAAGAATGGGATGGGAGAGAGAGTAGGTGATGGGATGGTTTGCGGGTGGGAGGGTGGTTATGGGGGGAAGAACCGCTATAATTCAAAAGTTGTACTTTAGAAATTTATATTTATTAAATAAAAGTTTTCTACTAAAAAAATCAATGTAGTATGTTGCAGTGCTTTCAGATACTAGGTATCAACTGGCTCATGACAGACACAAATCTAAAGGTGATGTAAATCCTTCAGCACAAACCTTGTCAAATGAAGCACTTTGGTATTCTGGCCCACGGTTAAATGCTACATGGATGTTTCCAGAGAACTCTTGTCTAAGATCAATTACAGAATAAACAGTTTATCCAGGAGAAAAAGAGGACACAGCTTTTTTGGTGTGTCTAATGTCTCAGCATGTTATTTCCAGTTTGGACTCTCCCCTTTCTCTGCAATAACTATGGCTTGAAGCAGTGTTTGGTGCAGTATTGGGAAGCCTGCATCCCACATCAGAGTGCCTTGGTTCGAGTAGCTGACTACCTACCACCCCTGTGGGAGTTTGGGACTGAATTCCCAGTTCCTGGCTTTGACCTGGCCTGGCCTTGGTTATTGTGGGTATCTGGGAACTGAACCACTGGACTTTCTTTTTTGCCTTTCAAATAAATAATAATAAATAAGTTTTAAAAAGTCTCCTATTGACATCTCATGCTTAAAAGTCAAAACATGATATTTGAACAGGGTCAGAATGAAAGACAGTCTTTTCTAATAGTGCATGCATTCTCTTCTCTTTGTTCTTGTAGCAATTAGCTTTCATTTTCTGATTGTTGTCTGCTAGGTGGCAAAATGGAAAATGCAAGGCTTCATTTCAACTATCACCTTCTTTCAGAAAGGAGATTTAAACATCTTCTGAGGTAACATCCAGGCCTACTTCCTAGCCTTCTCCTTCCGAGTTCCATTCACATTCTCCCTAATAAACAATGGGATTTCTTTGTGAGCCAGCTATTTTGTTGTATTTTACAGAGAATGGGAGGCAAAGGAAAACTGCCAAAGATTCTGACCAAGGTCACAGTAGAAAAGACAAAATAAGGACTTGAGACTTCCTAAGACTTGGCCCAGGGTTTGGGAAGTAAGGAAATATCGACATTTCCAGTGTGCCAAAATTATCTGCGGCAGAATGCTATAACGGGTATCAATTTAAAAGGAGGAAGTAAGGGAAGCCAAAGCATACGTGTATTCTATGGGGAAAGAAAATAAAGTCCTGAGGTTTCTAAGGAGAGAGATGTGGGAAATGGGGTCCTACAGGTCCAGTGGGCACATGACAGAGTGCAAGAAAAGAGGGAAAGTGGTAGCAAGGGGCAAGAGAAAAAGGAATGGAGGATGAGAATGCAACATGAGGAGGGGAGGGGACCTAGAACAACTTTAGGGGAGTAGTCAGATCAAAGAAGACAACCACAGAAGCATGGAAAATTGACATGTGTACACCCAGGAAATGCTTCTTAGTATGAAGGTGCACATACATCAGATCTCCAAACAACGAAACCAGCATACAAAAGGTCCACAAAATGGAGGAGAAAATGCACATAGCTAAACATACTTCCTCTCCCCCTTACAGGAGAAAGGGTTCACACACAAGAGCAGAAACAGGTGTGTACAAAACAAGGTAGCCCAGCAGAAGGGTTAGGAGCAGCCAGATTACCTGACAAAGGGGTTAGAATCCAGATTGTGCCACTAGGGGGATGACCTTGGGTAAGTTACTTAACCTCACTATGCCAGATTTATCTCCAGTAAAATGGTAACAACACCACTGCTCACCTCTTGGAGTTATTAAGAGAGGAAATAAACAACACATTTAGAATAGCATCTTGCATACATCAAATGCTACAGAAGTTAAATAAGAGAAATAACATACATAAAAAGGGAATGTATAGAGAAGACTCACTCTGAAACAATCACAATACAAAAACAAAGGATATCTTTCTATATACATATAATGTTCTTGGAGAAAGAAGACTTCACAAAATCTAAGACATTGTAAACTTGAGATAAGCAAATGGTTAACCTATCACTGACCTACAGGGAAAGAGAAATCAGTGGTAAGATAACTGGAGAAAAGTGGACTCAGGCAGGAGTGTGAAACATTAACTACCTAAAAAGTCAAAAGACTGGTTTTCACTGCAGATTCTCAATGCTAGGAACAGAAGGCAGGCTCTGCTGTGGTACAGGGAGGGTGGTGAAGGTAGCAGTTGATAGGGTTAAAGAAAGTACGTTAAGACTGGTATCTGGTTGCTAATTTAAGAAAGACAGCCTTGCTTCCCTTATATTTCTAATTGCTTCACCTCAAAAAGTGGGGGGCAGGGGTTTCCAGTCCTAGCACTCCACTGCAAGTAACCCCTCTGGGGTTGTCAATGACTTCCCAATTTCTATAGCCAAGGGCTTCATCTCCATTTTGCTTGATAATTTTGCAGCATCTGAGACCAATGACAAGTCCTTCTTTTTGAAACTAGAATTTTCCTTTTCATGGCCACTACTACTGCCTTGGCTCAGGCCTTTGTCATGGTCTCTGGGTTCCTTAAATACTCCCCATGGTTCACTTTGCACAACAATGCACTTGGCTGTCTATTTTTATCTTTTACTTCTCTACTCCACCCATCATAATCTACTTTGAAGTTTTCACTGTTCCTTGAATACATTTTGTCTCATGACACTGTGTCTGGATCCCTCTTCTTTTTTTTAAATCAAGAAAAGCCATTTTCTCTCTCCAGACCCAAGAATATCTTCCTCAACTTCTTTAGCCAGAAAAGTTCTTTCTTTTGTGAGTGCCTACAGCAATATAATCAAACACTTCTTGTAAGGAAGGCAAGACTACAGCTGACCTGTTGAATTGTCTTGACTTTCCAGAAAACCTCAAGTATCTCAAAGGTAGAGCAAATTGTCCTTAAACTCTGATATCTAGCACAGCACCCTGTTGGCTCAATCAAACATAATCCTTTTCTATCACACTGGTGACAAAATCTTTAATTCTAACAAAATCAATGTTTAAGCATAAAGTAGGAAGTTTAATGAGAATGTTTTGCAAAGCATGTGGCACTACAGTTAACACTGGGGCAGAGGGGGCTGTTTCTCACCGCTGTATATCCTTATTCTTCCACAAGGAGGCAGACTGAGCCTTTGGCACTCTTTCAATGAAATTCACCAGCTCTTCCATGAGAAGTCTGCATTCAAAAGAAAGTGATAAATACACACACACACACAATCAGAAAAACAGCATGCTCAAACACTGTACAGGAGAAATGAAATTGCCTGCTTCCACCCCATCGCTCGCCATCTTCCTCTCTGATACACACAAACGTGAGCAATACTTTACGTGAACTTAAAAATAGCCTTCTCAATGAATTTTCACCTTAAAAATTCTGAACTGAAGGGATTTAATTCACCCTCAAAATCAGTTTGGATTCTCTTGACATTAAGTTTGTGCTTCTTATCTCAAACACTGAATTAATCATATTTTTAACTCTCAAATATCTCTGTCTTTAAGTTGTGTTATTTAAACTAACATGAGTTAAATGACTGAAGTATCTGATTGTGGTGGTGACAGGAGTAGGACTGTTGTTTTTTAAGTGACACTACTAAACAGACATACTAAACTGACAAAAGAAGTTTTCTTGATGTGTGTTTTAGAAATTAGCAAAATTCTATATGGAAGAACACTCCAATGACTAATCCTAAAGCTTTAACTAAAGGCTCTGCTAAAGGATAGATCTCTTGGCTGCGCCGCAGCTCACTAGGCTAATTCTTCACCTGTGCCGCCGGCACACCAGGTTCTAGTCCCGGTCGGGGTACCGGATTCTGTCTGGATGGCCCAAGTGCTTGGGCCCTGCACCTGCATGGGAGACCAGGAGGAAGCACCTGGCTCTTGGCTTCGGGTCGGCGCAGCGCGCCGGCCGTAGCAGCCACTTGGGGGGTGAATTAATGGAAAAACGAAGACCTTTCTCTCTCTCTCTCTCACTCACTAACTCTGCCTGTCAAAAAAAAAAAAAAAAAAAAGGATAGATCTCTCTGAGACCATGAGATGGAATACCATGGTCCAGGGCATCTAAGAAATGCCACACTCAGTTGCGTCAAGGGAACACTTGCTCTCTTGATGGCTAGAGGTTGACCAAAAAGCTAGAAATTGATCTTCAACATCTTGAATGCCCTTTCTTAATGTAATGTAGATGATTCATATTGATTTAAATCTCCTCCAAATCAATATATAATAGTCCTCTTTATCTGAGAGGCATATGTTCTGAAACCCCAGGGGATGCTAGAAAAACTGTGGGTACTACTGAACTCATCATTTAATACCATTTCCATCTTAACTAAACACTTATCACACACTATGGCTGTAACTTTTACAGTTTGAGGTGTGACAGTAAAACTAGCATAAATTTCTTTTTCCTTCTTCACAATTTCACAGATAAATCTGTTCTTATCACGGACTTTAGCAACCTCAGCACAGAGTTTTCTTTCTTTAAGTTGAGAACTTCCACCTTTTCTGTTAAAGGAAGCATTTTGCAGCTTCTCTTTTGGCATATCTGAATCACAAGCATCACTACTCTCATATTTTGGAGCCATTCTTAAGTAAAGTAAGGGTTACTTGAGCACAAGTGCTGTGGTACGGATACAGTGGAGCTGGTAACTGAGAAAGCTACATTGTGACTCAAGAGCAGGTAGTGCATACAGCATGGATATGCTGGACAAAGGGATGATTAATGTCTCGGGTCAGATGGCATGAGATTGCATCATGCTACTCAGAATAGTGTACAATTTATTTTTATAATTTTCTACTTAATATTTTTGGACTATAATTGACCACAGGTAACTGAAAACAAAGAAAGCAAGACTGTGGATGGTAAGGGAGGGAAAATATGATCATATAGCTAATGGCAAGCATTTGAAAGCTGAAAACTTAATTCTACATCTATTTATATATGTAATACAAATACCATCTCATCCTTCTATCTTCCAGTATTAGTTATAGCATCCCATTCTAGCTACAACTAGTCTTGTGCATCCCATCTTAAGCTTCCATTTTTTAGATTACATTATAATATTTTCAGCTTTTTATCTCACTGAAACTGATTGCTTTTTAAAATTTCCTTATAATGGCTCTTCCTCAGATTCCTTGTGGTTTTCTGTATACATTACAACATGGTTTGACACAAAAACAAGAAAATAGTTTCACTTCTAGTAATGCCATCTTGTTGGATATCTGTAGGATACCAGCATCAAACCTAACAGCTGAAATCAACTGCTAGATCCCATGTTTTGAGTCCTAATACTTTTATTTATTTATTTATTTTGACAGGTAGAGTTAGCCAGTGAGAGAGAGAGAGACAGAGAGAAAGGTCTTCCTTCTGTTGGTTCACCCCCCAAATGGCTGCTACGGCCGGAACTATGCCAATCCGAAGCAAGGAGCCAGGTGCCTCCTCCTAGTCTCCCATGTGGGTGCAGGGCCCAAGCACTTGGGCCATCCTCCACTGCCTTCCCAGGCCACAGCAGAGAGCTGGAGTGGAAGAGGAGCAACCGGGACTAGAATCCAGCACTCACATGGGATGCCAGCATCACAGGCGGAAGATTAACCAAGTGAGCCATGGTGCCGGCTCCAAGTCCTAATAGATTCAATTCCAATCACACTTAATGTATTTCAAAACACTGAATTAAGAAAATTGTTATCTGGGGTAATTTTCTTCACATAACTGAGGTTATGGTTATTTACAGTAACCACTTATAACAGGGGTGGTGAATGTCTGGTCCATGGTCTGACCCTGTCAAGGCAACCACAGGCAGGACTCAAAATTTAGTATTTATAGTTGGCTAATTTTTAATTTGATAATTTTGCATGGCCTATGAATGACATTAAAAACATCCAAATGGCCTTTGGCAGAAAAAAGATTCCCCACCTCTGACATAGATCATGAAGGCTTGGTAGGGTGCAAAGAAAGGGATGGCAGAGCCTTCTCAGAATCAAAGGAAGACTATGTAGTTTTTTCTTTTTAAAAATTTATTTATTTATTTGAAGGAGTTACAGAGAGGCAGAGGCAGAACAAACATGAGAGAGAGAGGGAGAGAGAAAGAGAGTCTTCTATCTGCTGGTTCACTCCCCAGATGGCTGCAACGGCTGGAGCTATGCTGATCTGAAGCCAGGAGCCAGGGGCTTCTTCCAGGTTTCTCATATGGGTGCAGGGGCCCAATGACTTTGGCCATCTACTGCTTTCCCAGGCCATAGCAGAGAGCTGGATCAGAAGTGGAGCAGCCGGAACTCAACCCGGCGCCCATATGGGATGCCAGCACTTCAGGCAGCAGCTTTACCTGCTACGCCACAGCGCCGCCCCTGGACTACATAGTTTTAAATTTAGCATGCTGAGTTTCACTGTCAATATCAACGCCAAGTTGAATGTTCAGCACAGCACTTAAGACACTGTTTGGGGCCGTGCTGTGGCTCACTTGGCTAATCCTCCGCCTGTGGCGCCGGTACCCCGCGTTCTAGTACTGGTTGGGGCGCCGGATTTATCCTGGTTGCTCCTATTCCAGTACAGCTCTCTGCTGTGGCCTGGGAAGGCAGGGGAGGATGGCCTAAGTGCTTGGGCCCTGCATCTGCATGGGAGACCAGGAGGAAGCACCTGGCTCCTGGCTTCGGATCAGCGCAGCGCACCGGCCGTAGCAGCCATTTGGGGGGTGAACCAACGAAAGGAAGACCTTTCTCTCTCTCTCTCTCTCTCACTAATTCTGCCTGTCAAAAAAAAAAAAAAAAAAAAGACACTGTTTGGGATGCCCACATCCCATGTCAGAGTGCCTGGGTTTGAGTCCTGGCTGCTTCTAATTCCAACTTCCTGATAATGTACACTTTGGGAGGCTGTAAGTGATAGTTTGAGTACTTGGGTTCCTGCTACCCATAAGGTAGACTGGGATTGAGTTATGAGCTCTTGGCTTTGACTTGGCCCAGCCCTGGCTGTTGTGGGCATTTGGAGAATGAAACAGTGGATTAGATATCTGATTTTGTCTCTCTCTGCCTTTAAAGTAAATTTTTTTAAAATGTGGAAACACCAGGTTATAGTGAGATAGAAGTAAGATGTTTGGGGGTTCTATTGTACAGTAGGGTGCACAGAGATGCGAATTTACTGTATACTTCTCTATAAAAATACTGGAAGATAGGATTTTTGGATATTTTTACTACAAAGAAATATTAAATGCTTTGAAGAATTAAAATATATTTACCTTGATTAGACAATACACAACATATACATTTCACAAAACATCCCATAAATATGTACAATTTTTAAGTCTGTTAAATTTCTTTCATGTGGAAAAAATAACTGGGGCCAGCGCAGTGGCACAGTAGGCTAAGCCTTTGCCTGTGGCGCTGGCATCCCATATGGGCATCAGTTCATGACCCGGCTGCTCTTCTTCCAATCCAGCTCTCTGAAACGGCCTGAGAAAGCAGTAGAAGATGGCCCAAGTCCTTGGGCCTTTGCACTGGCATGGGAGACCCAGAAGAAGCTCCTGGATCCTGGCTTCAGATTGGCTCAGCTCTGGCCATTGCAGCCATTTGGGCAGTGAACCAGCAGGAAAGGAAGACCTTTTTTCTCTCTGTCTCTCCCTTCTCTGTCTGTAACTCTACCTCTCAAGTAAATAAATAAAATCTTAAAAAAAAAAAAAAAAAAAAAAAAGATCAGGCAGATTGAGCAAAATAAACCTTAAAAAAAAAAGAAAAACAAATGGAAAAAATAAATAAAAGCACAGAAAATCTCTCTCCCTTTCCCAATGCAGAATCATTATTTTAAAAAATAGCAGGACAACGTAATCATCTAATTAATCATAGATCTTGTTTCTTTTCAAGCTGTTTCTATTTAGAGTCTGCAGTGAACCATAAAAAGGGGGAAGTTTTGAAAGCAAAGTAATATTCCTTTTTATTTCAATATGCTTTGTTGTTTTCCTCTGAAGTTCTTTGCCTGTGTCTTTGTGGCACCTTCCTAAATATTACCTCCCCTAAATAGTATCACCCACACAGGGGAGCTGTCTCTGAGAATACCTTTCAGTTTATGGGGGAAAAAAAACACACACAGTAAGACTACTAGCAGCATCAACCTCTTGGCGTTTTCAATGACTATTCCTTTATCTACATGAATACTTCTGTACTCCTGCCTATTCTTCAGGTTAGTAGCTCAGAAATAAAGAACAATGACTAATGAAATAATATTCTACTCCACAGTCACCACTGAAGGAGGAGCTCTGCAGCCACATCCCAGTGGGATAAGCACTCTTACCGGCCAATCTGAACAGTGGGCTCTGTGGCGTACACTGTGCCTGTGAATCCAGTGTGCTCAGTGATGTAGGGCAGCGCCATCATGCAGTGATAGTTAGAGATGAGAATCACATCTACCGTAGACAGGTCTATTAGCTCAGTCTGAAAAGAATGATACGAATCTGTTCAGGGCACATAGATCAACATGATGCGACTGAAAAATGATGGTGTCAGAATGCAGAGAAGTAGTTTTTGTACAACAGAATAATGATGCTGTTGCTGCAACCTTTCCGTCCTCTAGTTTTTAGATGTTTTTTAATACTAACCTTAAGTATCAGGACTGGATAGCTAACACAAAGGCAGCTAGTCTACCAGCACTGCTCTGTGTTTTACTGAAACAGTTCTTCCGAGTTAGACATGTAGGGGCAAATGACAACAGGACACCGTAGTGGCTGCCGCCTGGTGTATGAGACCAGATAACCTGAAGCAGAGTGAGCAGACTGCAAGCTCTGGAGGCCTAGAGAAGCAATGTACCACTGTTTCCGAGGAACTGAAAACAGGGCCGACAGCATGCAGAAGCCAGCTCCTCAAAAGTCAAACACACAGGCGCTGGTTTTCATTCTTTGAGCCAGCTTTTGACCATCACTGCTGGATAGAAAACAAACCAAAACAAGCCAAAACAAACAAACAAAAATACCAAAACACACATACACACAACAGCAGTGGCAGAGTCATATAAAGAAATTATACTCTCATCTAATTTTAATCTCAAATCTTCCCTTTCAGTCAATGTTAAGGCCAAGTGAAATGGAAAAAAAACAGATTAGCTGGTGAGGGAAATACCTATCCAAGTTTAGTAAATTTTATGAAAGTGTAGTACAAGGGAATTTTTTCCCATAAATTTGTCCTATCTGTTAAGGCTCAACTCTCTTCTTCCTGATTTACTCAGATTAAGGAACCCACTCCAGCCTTGCCCGACCTCCCATAATTCTTTGACTGTTCCTCTTATGAGGGTTAGCACTCTGTATAACAGGCCCTCTGGGGAACCTTTTGTTCTCCATCTCTCCCATCTGAGGTAAACAGTATGTGTACAGGACAGGCCTGGGTCTGCAATGTCAAAGGAACACAGCTTTATAAGCAGGACGTCCTGTGGAGTGTGACACTGGTTCGGAGACATCCTATCAATTCACTGAACTCTCTCATGGAGGAGTTGACCCTGGGAAGCTGTGCAGTGTGCTAAGGAGAAGTATAGGCTAAGTCAAAGAAGTGTTTTGGCTACGATGGGTGGTTGAGCTAACATGTCCCCCACAGAGAGGAAGTAACAAAGATGTCTGTGACATAAGCAAATGCCATCTTGGCTGTGGGTATTTTCTGGTTGAATAACTTTACTCATGAAATAATAAAGCTGCCGAGGCAGCATCAGCTCTCAAGAACAGCATGTGAGTAGAGGTCATAAACTCCTCACTGCTAGGGCAATGGCATCTATGTGAATAACATGCCTAATGACAGTTAAGAGCCAGCTTCTACCACCCTTAACTCCATAGCATGCACCGTGCTCACAAGATAATATCCTTGTAATAAAGGACCATGTAACAATCTGCTTGTCCTACTCTCCAGAAACATTTTTAAACAAATAAGGAAAGTAAGAGTAATAGAGGGACAGATCCAGTTGGGGGGGGGGGGAGGAAATGACAGTTGAAACAACAACAAAGCTCAAAACATCACTTTGCCTCATGTGTATAGACACTGGGTGATACAATTTAAAATCTTTCTTTAAAAATCAGGCTGCAGGGGCTGGCACTGTGGTGCAATAGGTTAATTCTCCACCTGCAGTGCTATATGGGTGCCAGTTCTAGTCCCAGCTGCTCTGCTTCCCATTCAGCTCTCTGCTATGGCCTGGGAGGGCAGTAGAAGATGGCCCAAGTCCTTGGGCCCCTGTACCTGCATGGGAGACCCAGAAGAAGCTCCTGGCTCCTGGCTTTGGATCCACGCAGCTCCGGCTATTGTGGACATTTGGGGAGTGAACCAGCGGACGGAAGACCTTTCTCTCTGTCTCTACCTCTCACTGTCTGTAACTCTACCTCTTAAATTAAAAAAAATCAAGCTGCAGAGTCTAGACTTATGAGAAGTTTGAACAGAGGAGTTGGAAGAAAAAACATTTGTGTGTATGTATAAACAATGCTTACATACATGGTTTTCCTGAGAAATAAAGCTAACATCCAAACCACATTTATATATTCATATTTATAGATTGACTTACACATTTTCACTCAATGGAATCCAATAAAGATTATTTTAACTTGAAAACTTTGTGTAAAGACTTGCTACAGACTTTGAGTTGAGTCAAAATGACCATAATTTATTGTCTGTTTACTATACTGTGCTGTACCACATAAACAGTCTATGGCGTAACTTCAGGAAAACAAAAGACAGTTGTAGTAGATCACAAATTTCATGAGGACTGGTATTAGGCCTGCCTGGCTTACGTGCAAGTCAGCAAAGACTAGGCTGCAGTGAATGCCTCTCTGCTTATACTACTACCCTACTTTCTGACCATAAAATAGCCTGGTTCTGTTTTAAAACAGGGACTATTATTAATATATGCCATAAAATCTTGCTAGAAAACTCTTGCATGACTCCAGAACCCTAAATACATCAATAATCCTTTAGTGTAGGTGAACTGTGAAATGCTAATTTAGTAGAGTACTACGGAGCAAGTCAGAAAGTCATCAGCCATCAATTCTTAAATTCTACATGGCTGTCCATAAACTGAAGGTTGCAGCAGTCAGCACCATATATGGTAAACTGAAAATAAATGTAGCACCTGGGATCAGGAATCTTTAAATCTGATCAGATGAGGAACTGTTCTACAAATTCCAAAGAGATGAACGAGGATTACAAAAAGATTATAAAAGCAATGGGAGAGGGGCAGGCGCTGTAGCACAGCAGGTTGACGCCCTGGCCTGAAGCACCGGCATCCCATATGGGTGCCGGTTCTAGTCCCAGCTGCTCCTCTTCGGATCCGGCTCTCTGCTATGGCCTGGGAAGGCAGTAGAAGATGGCCCAAGTCCTTAGGCCCCTGCACCCACGTGGGAGACCTGGAAGAAGCTCCTGGTTCCTGGCTTTGGATTGGTGCAGCTCCAGCCATTGCGGCCATCTGGGGAGTGAACCAGTGGATGGAAGACCTCTCTCTCTGTCTCTACCTCTCTCTGTAACTCTGCCTGCCAAATAAATAAAATAAAATTTTTAAAAAAAAAAGAAAAAGCAATGGGAGAGAGCTCAGGATTCGTGGTAATTCTCCTTCACCTTTATTTTGACCACTATATCTCAAACTCTTCCTTTTCTGCAACTCAATTACCATATCCTTCTCTGTTTTTTTTTTTTTTTCCTCTCTTTTACTCTGGAACCCTCTCAAAGGGCACATAAACATATTTAAAGCAGAGCGATAGAAGTTTATCTACAGGATATCAAACAAAGTGTAGAAATGCAAAGACAAGGGGGAAGAGGGGCCAGTGCTGTGGCGCAACGGGGTTAAAGCCCTGGCCTGAAGCGCCGGCATGAGACCCGGAACTCCACTTTCCATCCAGCTCTCTGCTATGGCCTGGGAAAGTAGTGGAAGATAGCCCAAGTCCTTGGGCCCCTGCACCCGTGTGGGAGACCCAGAAGAAGCTCCTGGCTCCTGGCTTCGGATCGGCGCAGCTCCGGCGGTTGCGGCCAACTGGGGAGTAAACCAACGGAAGGAAGACCTCTCTCTCTCTCTCTCTCTCTCTCTGCCTCTCTTCTTTCTGTGTAACTCTGAATTTCAAATAAATAAATAAACCTTTAAAAAAAATAAACTGCCACTTAGGATGTCCATATTCCATATCAAAGTGCCTAATCAGAGACTTGGTTACTCCACAGTTAGCTTCCAGCTTCCTGCTAGTGTACCTGGGAGGCAGCAGGTGAAGGGGGAAAAAAAAAAAGAGGAAGAGATGACAATGATGGCAGAAACTACACTCCAAGTTTTCTTTCATTTTTGGCTCTGAGTTGTGAAAGTATTTTCTACAGGCACTGTAATTCACTGAGCGCTGATTTCCATAGGAACCTTAGGTACCACCGGCTTTCCTATACTTCATATGTCTATTGAAAACCCCAGCTAGACTGCTCTGAGGATTATCCTTGACAGATTAGATTAGCTGCCTTTGTAACTAACAGAAAGTGATCTCAGTGAAACTGGCCCCAAATCCTAACAAGTCTCACTGTGATAATACATAAGCAACAGATACTCAATGACACAGCTCAGAACCCATGAATTTCAAGCAATATTCAATATGATATTTCAAATCAGCGTGAATTTTTACAGTTTACTCACATTGGCAGAATAATGGTAATTCGCAATTACCCAATGTAAGGAAGACTAGAAAAAGTATGGCTATTCTAAGCACAAAGGCATTATAATTACAAAACTCAAAGTATTGAGTTATTTCTTTACTTGCTCAAAATCAGACCCTAGAAGAAGTATTAGTAGGGATTACAGAAAGAACTAAAAATAGGAAGAGAGTGAATTAAATGATTTATAGACAATAAACAGTGCACCTAAATAGTCATATTTTAGCTGCACAACAATGTGGCTGGAATAACAGATTAATTTAAATTTGAAAAGTGGAAGTTAAGCTCCTTAAAATTATTTCTTGACTTCATTTTGAGATTATACAAGACTTCATCTTGAGAGATTAATAGAGTATGCTTTGCTTTGTTTCTGCAATAAGATTCACTTTAATCTTACCTCTGGTAAACAGAATTCAGGCACAGAGTCCACAAACACATGACCTGAGCACTCCTTTAGCTCCTAAAACAAATTAAAAAGAAAAATACTAGGAAGATATATTCAATAGCTGTAACACCAAAGAAACAGAATCTTCAAGCCAAATTTTTCATGAAGAGTCATAGGCTGCTAGTGTTGAAGAGAAGCTGGGAGGTTATTCAGGCTAAGTGTTCCTTGCTTAGGTTCAGGTAGGTCAAGAATCTTACTAAGGGGAAAAATACTGTTTTGTAATAGATTCAAGCCTTGTATCCACATTTCTTGGTGCCTCTTCCAGAAAAGTATGCACGGACATAGACTACTTCCATAATCCATCATCCAGTGGTTTCCAAGTAAGTTATATGTAGGCCATACTAACAATAGAATTACCTGAGAACACTGAAAAAAACTAAAGATCCCCAGGCCCTACCTAAGGGAACAGAAACTGGGGACGGACTTGTTACAAATGCAAACTGGAGTTGATTCTGTTATGCAATCAAGTGAGGAGCCATGGACTTGGACAAATTATTTAGAACCTCTTTCTCTACCTGCTAAGAGTTGGGGAGGTAGGGGGAGAGGCAAGCTAAGAAGGAAGGATCAAGAGTAGGGGATAGGGATTAAACACCCACCACTACCACTATAATGAATGTAATGCTTATTTCTGGAGGACATACAATTAACATGAGATTATAATCCAAGTAAATTTATTAAAAAGAAAAAGTATATGTATAAAGAAATTGCATATAGTACAACTCCTTAGTCTATGACTTATCTAATGTGCCTATCTAAATTTGGACTCCTCCACAGACTGAACCCAAAAAAAGGGTTTGACAGCAAGCATTTTATGTGGGAGGTGCTAGGGAAAAAAAAAAACACACAAGAGAAGCGATGAGGAAGTGATAAGTGGAAAGAAAGGTGGCTGATGATGGACATGTTACTGAGCTAGTTACTACTTTGGGCACCTGAAACTTATTCCCATGGGGAAACTCTGAGACATGGTACAGAACATATACCTCAGAGTTATCCTACTGAGGAGCATGGGATCTAGAAAATCTACAGACCAACTACTGCAGTTTGTGCAACTTCAAGAAAAAATTCTCAGGCCAAGCCAGCTATATAGGTACTGGCAACTGGAACTGACATAGCACAGTGAAACAGAAAGGCCCAGAAGACATGAGTGAACCACAAATGGAGGCTATGAACATGCCTCCAGAAGGCCACTGGAACTGTTTCCTTCTCTCATGGATATTTTAAACTAAAGTCCACGGTGGATTTTTTGTAATATCAAAGTCAGAGCTACCGAAGATATTGTAGTACAACCAGTAAAAGGCAGAATTTGGTCAACAGTTTTCTTTGCTTTTTCCAGGAAGGGAAATATACTGTTATAATTTTGTTCTATTGTGTTTCAAGTAGTCATTGAACATGTATTTCTATATATTTCTATATGCATGTATCTATATTTATACAGGCAGAGTCTGAATGATTTTACTCTATCTAAAAAGAGCACATCAACTATATGTTATTTTCCCTTTGATTTTTTAGGTTTCATACAGAAGAGTCTCAACAGGATATTTCCTCCCCTCGCCTTCCACTGTACATTCTGGTTCCACTCCTTTTATGTGTATTGTTTAACCAGTTATAGGCTAAGCCAAAAAAAAAAAAAAAAAAAAAAAAAGAAACTGAAAATATTTCTTAATTACAATGTACCTGCCAGCTAAAAATAAGCCAAGTAAGTTTTCACATAAGAAGACTCCAACTCCCTTAGGATAAGGATAAATCTGATTAAAGACAAACCATGGGAAGTTTCAAAGCTTTCCCTAGTATTAAATAGGCTATGCAATCTCCTTCTTCATAATGCTACATGTCAGGACAGGTCATATGATAAAGTCTCCTCGGAGGCTCTTACCCTTTCCGGTGTACAGAAGCATATTTGGCATTCCAAACACTTACAATGTCACTGTATTTTATTCACCACTCCCTTCTAATGAAATACTCCCACATCCACATGCAAGTCATTTCACTCACAATGCACTGGTAATGGGATGCTTCTGAGCCTCTCTCAGGCAACATGATTTATAGCCAGCAGGAGACTCAGGCTGAAATCAGGTACACAGGTTCCTGAATGTCACATAATTTTTCAGTCAACTATAAACGAAATTTGGCTTTAGATTATGCATTTGGCTTGTAACGGAGGTTGGGGTGCAGTTACAGAAATTAATTCTGCAAAAAAGTGTACCTCATTAATAATATCTGTACAAGAAAACAATGTCTTATTCAGATTAATCATTTGGTTTTTCAATTGTGAAATAAAGAAGAAAGATTTGGAGGTCTAAGAAGTGGCTGGAGGAGCTTTATAGTTTTTAACCTTTCCATATCTCTGATTGAGAGGCAGAGATTCTTATCTGGCCATTCACTCCCCAATGGCGCAATGGCTGGAGCTTGGCTGAGGCTGAAGCTGGGAGCCAGGAACTCAATCCAAATCTTTCACATGGGTGGCAGCAATCCAACTACTTGAGTTATCACCACTGTCTCATAGGATGTACAGCAGTAAGAAGCTGGAGTCAAGATCAGAGCCAGGGATCAAAGCCAGGCACTCCAATGTGGGATGCAAACTTCCTAGATCAAATTCCTGCTTCTTTAAATATTTTAAGTTCGAAGTGTCACTAGATTATAATTTTAATATTTTTTATAGTCTTGACTGTCATTCAATAAGTTAACTGTCTAAAAATTGTTTTAGTGAAGGAATTATTGAAAAGATAACCTAACATCAAAACTTTAATTGCCTAGGAAAAAAATAATTTAAGGGATTTACTTCAGGCCTATTCAGTCAGTGATTAAAGCCATAACACAACTCCATATCCTAGATTCTTAGGACCATGCCTGTGTTTTTGCTTTTTCTTCACAACCTATAAGATTGTCCATTCTGGGCTATTAGGAAAGGTTGGAATAGGATCACAAATTAGTGTGGAAGGCCCTCTACCTGAAGTCACCCCCTGCTGTCCCTTGAAGAAACCTTTTCTGGGAAAATTAATATCCTGCTCCTCAGAATATTCTCCACACAGTGGCCAGAGACATCCATTTTGATGATGACACCATTTTTCCACAATCTTCTATGGCCTATCAACAACTAAAGACTCAAATGTTTTATAAGCCTTAGCTGAGCTGTGACAGAAGCAGTAGAAAAGCATATTTAGGGCAAGCATTTGGCTGAGCAGTAAAGACACCACATTGGAGTATTGGGGTTCAAGTTCCAGCTTTGCTCCCAGTTCCAGCTTTCAGATAGCGAGCATCCTGACAGATAGCAGAGGAAGGCTCATGTAGCTGGGTCCCGCCACCCATGTGGAAACTTAGATTGAGTTCCTGGCTCCTGAATTTGGCCCAGCCCATGCTCACCTGTTGTGGGCATTTGGACAGTAAACCAGCAAGTGGAAATTCTCTCCCTCTCTCTCAAATTAAAAAAAAAAAATGACAACAATAAAATAACTCTCATAATTGAGAATTTTAGAGTTTTCTTTGAAGAAATGTCTTATTCCTTCCAGACAATACACCCTCAAAATGAACTGGATGAAATTCTTTAATAAGTATCACATAGATTTTTGAACATGAGAACAATGGATCTGAACTGAACACTGAGACTCCCTGTAAGAGCATGAAACCAATAATTACCAAGTACAGAAGACTAGCATGGATCCTGGAGGGGTTTTAAGGGAGAACACATATGGGAAACAAACAAAAAGATAAGCCCATAAGTCACATTACTACAGGGTGGCACTGGCATGACAAGAAGGCTTTCTGCTGAGAATAGGTATTTTTCAGTTTTCTGTCTTGGACAATACCTTGTCTAAGAAAGCATTTCCATCCTTCAGGGACCAGCAAGGAAGATTAGACAGCCTGGGACTGAAAAACAAAAGATTAAATTACTCTAAACAGATTATAATCCTCAGTGATTTCATGATGACTGTATTGTTTCCATAAAGTTAAAAACAGTTTTAAATTGCTAGCAACAATACTCACCCAAAATACCAATCAAAAATATGAGAAACAGTCATGTTGTAACAAGTTTAAGAACTATGTGGTAATGGAATATTATAAGGTCAAATCATTTAGCACAAAACTGAAAAATTAAAAGAATGTTATGCAGAATAATAAAAAAGACAACTGAGACACTAGAGCCTTTCAGAGTTTCCTAATCAATGCCTCTAATTTATGTTTTTTTTTGTTTGTTTGTTTTTGTTTTTTTTTAAGTGTCTGAGAACAATCCTGAGAGGAGAGCATAATAGGTGACATGTAGAAGAGAAAATGATCTTTGGTTAGGACATACCTTCTAGGGGGCTCACTACCTACCAGTCAGAATTTACTTTGACTATGAAGACCCAAATTCTAGTAAAATCCATATTCTGTCCATATTCTGGATTCTCTGTTAACAAGTATAGTAGTAATTTGTCACCTGTGGCTTGAGTTTCCTACACTGGAAAAATAAAGATTGTTTTTTCAAGTATTCTAAAAAGATACCATATCTAAATGAATCTAAAATATTTTTAAATTATTTAGTATTTATTCAAGAGGCAGAGTTACAGTGAAAGGGAGAGAGAAAGAGAGAGAGAGAGGGAGGGAAGTCTCCCATCCTCTGGTTCACTCCTCAAATGGCTGCAATGGCTGGAGCTGGGCAGACCCGAAACCAGGAGCCAGGACCTTCTTCTGGGTCTCCCATGTGGGTGCAGGAGCCCAAGTACTTGGGCCATCTTCCACTGCTTTCCCAGGCCATTAACAGAGAGCTGGATTGGAAGTGGAGCAGCCAGAACTCAAACTGGTACCCATATGGGATGCTGGGGCCACAGCCTGAGGCTTAAGCTGCTACGTCATAATGCCAGCCCCTAAGTGAATAATTTCTAAACAAGGTTAATTCCATATATATGACACATTAAACAGACTTTTGCAAAAATCATTTACTTCTAGTTATCTCAGGATTTAACTGTGCACTAATTACTAGTTGACCAGAAGCATTACACCAGAAATTAAGAAAGCCAAAAATAGTATGTTGGTAAACTGAAAAACTTAAAGACCAGGAAGCTGAGTAAAGAAAAAGCACATCAAGTGTGTAAGTTTGATGGCAAAAAGATTTCAGTCTTTACCACAAAATTAAAGTCTGTGAAATAAAATTAAGGGCAAAGTAAAGGTATGGCATTAAAAAAAATACTATCACCAGAAATCAAGAAACTGTACAGTCCCTCACCCTCTGATCAAAGTAGATTCTGACTTTCTAATTAGGTGACAGTAAACAAAAGTCAAATAGAAACATAAATATTTGTCAGTCTTCTAAGAAAGGTTAAAAACCTGAATGAAATTTAGATGTATCTAATTTCTAGGGGGAAAAAGTAAGAAAGGGGAGTAGTTTTTGACATTAATCCTAAACGTTTAAAAAAGGTACAAGAATGTAAGTATAATAAACCTCCATATACTCTCCACTAAAATTCATTAACTATTTGAGAGCTTTGTATTTCATACTTGAGAATGGAAATCACTACTGGCACAATCAAATTTGGTTGGTATAAATTATACCTGATGAACTTTTTTTGTTTTAAAACCTAGGGAGTTTTCTGCTTTAACTTCTCAGAAAAACATTTTTATTACTGTTAGCTGGTGTTCCCCCCCCCCCCCCCCCCCCCCCAGGCAGAGTGGACAGTGAGAGAGAGAGAGACAGAGAGAAAGGTCTTCCTTTGCCATTGGTTCACTCTCCAATGGCCGGCGCGGCCGGCGCGCTGCGGCCGGCGCACCACACCTATCCAAAGGCAGGAGCCAGGTGCTTCTCCTGGTCTCCCACGGGGTGCAGGGCCCAAGCACCTGGGCCATCCGCCACTGCCTTCCTGGGCCACAGCAGAGAGCTGGCCTGGAAGAGGGGCAACCGGGACAGAATCCGGCGCCCGACCGGGACTAGAACCCGGTGTGCCGGCACCGGCCTCACATATTTTCTTAAAGTATATTTCTGTGGAGAGATTTCTGTTTCCTTGTTTACAGAATTTACAAAGTTCATGATCATTGAAAGCAAAGTAATGCGATCGGTTCTGTGGTGTAGCAGGGAAAGCCGCTGCTTATGATGCCAGCCTCCCGTATGAGTGCTGGTTTGAGTCCCTGCTGCTCCACTTCCCGTCCAGCTCCCTGATAATGCGCCTGGGAAAGCAGTGAAGGATGGCCCAAGTGCTTGAGCCCCTGCACCCACATGAGAGACCCAAAGAAGCTCCTTGCTTCTGGCTTCAGCTGTCCTGACTCCAGCCATTGCAGCCACTTGGGGAGTGAACCAGAGGAAAGAAGATATCTCTCTCTCTCTCTCTGTCTCTCTCCCTCTCTCTGTAACTCTGCATTTCAAATAAAATGAATAAATCATTTTTAAAAAAGTAAAATAATAATTGCCTTTCCCTTTGATAGTTTAAAGTTTAATAAGTCTTTATAATTTATTCATTAACTCGTTCACATGCAGTGTTACCTTCCCAGTTCTGTGGAGAGGAGCATCCCTTTGCCCGGTGGCATTCTTTGTGACCCTTTATCTTTGGCGCCACAGATTGAACATCCCTAATACAAAAGGATCCAAAATCCACCAAAAAATTCAGATTTCAGATTTTCAGATTAGGAAAGTCTACCAGTAAAATCTAAGTATTCTTAAAAAGTACAAGTATTCCAAAAATCCAGAAAACTCAACAATCTAGACTCTCTGGTCCCAAGCATTTAAGATAAAAGATATTCAGCCAGTATTATTAGAGCACAGTCATGCTTTCCTTTGATCATCAGTCCCTTCTACTAGTGATGTCTCAGACTGTGAGGCTTTAGTAGAAGGCTTTAATGTTACAATGTGTCAAAAATTCAAGCTCCAGGCTCTAAAAATTGTGCTTTATAAAAGATGCATGGTTTTCTGATAAGCCACATGCTATTTCTAATCATTTGTTGAGGACAACTAGCTGCAGCAGTCATCTGATTTTTGAGTATCTGATGGAGAACAAAGTGCTTGTCCTTTGGTCTAGTTCTCTTTGTAAAGGGAAGTGGATATTTACAACCTTGTTTAGTGAGTTAGCATGCGTGGAATGAGAACAGTGTCCATGTTGTCTTGTCATTACACTTTTATTATAATACTTGTTGCTCCTCTTCCAGTCCAGCTCTCTGCTGTGGCCCAGGAGGGCAGTGGAGGATGGCCCAGGAGCTTGGACCCTGCACCTGGCATGGGAGACCAGGAGAAGCACCTGGCTCCTGCCTTCGGATCAGCGCGGTGCGCCGGCTGCAGCGGCCATTGGAGGGTGAACCAATGGAAAAGGAATACCTTTTTCCCTGTCTCTCTCTCTCACTGTCCACTCTGCCTGTCCAAAGTAAATAAATAAATTAAAAAAGTGAAGATATTAGAAAAATTATTATAAATACATCTCTGCATCCACTATTTTATAATAATTTCTTAGTCAAGGAAAAAACTTATAAACAAAATCTATATTTTAGTGATTATTTAGGAAATGTAAATTATTCTTATAAGCAAATAGATGACTGAGTACTATAATCTACTGCCTAGAAAAAATATGAAAATGTAGACTGAACACATGAGTAATTTATTGTTTATATTTTTCTTTTTTCAAATTCCTACTCTAAAATACATTACTTTTATAAACAGAAAATAATGAAAGAAGCACAAGTACATTCATCCATTCAAAAATATTTATAAAAACTTATTACTCTAACCAAAATTCTGGAATGACAGTATATAAAACAGCTCTGTGTTTGAGAAGTTTGCAATCTACTATAGGGAGAGCATAAGCAGCAGCTACAATAGAACAAAATAAGAACTATGACAGGTAAACAGAAGGCACTATGGGTTCCCACTTTTGACAGTTTGCAGAGAAGTAGCAGAGTAGGGACTAGGAATCAGGAGATGAAGATGGAGGCGGTCTGTTCAAAACAAACAAAAAAAAATAGAGAAGCACCTCATCATCTGATACAATACAGGAGACGGAAGTGCTCATCTTTCCTCATTAATTCATGAATCTTTATGTGTCAAGCACTCAGCTAAGTGCTGGGGTAGACGACTGTGAGCAAAACATCACTCTTTAGAGGAGGTAAGGAGGGCAGACAGATTAAGTAATCACATAGATAAACAGAGAATGAGCTGTTAAAAATGATGAAGCACTAAAGTAGTACAAAGTACCACAGAAGTTTCCTAACAAGAGACCAGTCTAGACACCATCAAAAAACTTCCCTGGGGTTATGATGAGTGGGCTGAGTGAGATCTGGATAGCACCAGAGTCAAGGAGAAATGTGGTTAAGGGGCAGGATCTGGAGGAAACACATGAAGATGACAGTCACCAGGCACAGTAATTACTTCCTGTTATCCTCACTAGCTTTCCTCATGGACATCTTATATCAAAGGTTATTCAAACAAAATTTCAAGAGTCTCATATAGTCCCATACACGCCCTCTTGGCTGTTGATCTGACTGGAATGCCATCTCTGTGTCTTTTCTACCTAGAAAGTACACTCACAAATTATCTGAGAGAAGAGCTCCTACTAAGGAGGCTGAGGAAAGGTGAGATGGGAGAAGGAAAGAGAATCTTCCAGATTGAAGGAACAATGTGTGTGGCTGCTCTAAGACAGGAGATAGTAAGAGGTCCTTGAAACTCTGAAAGGAAACAAGAGCAAGAGATAGACTATAAAGAAATTACTAGAGCCTAAATAGCAACATGAGTTTGGCATTTATCCTAAGAGTACTTGAAAACCCACTGAAAGATTTTATTTATTATTAATTTTTTCCTAAATTTATTTTAAAATTTTATTTGAAAGGCATAAAGACAGAGAGACATATGGAGAGATCTTCCATCCACTGGTTCACTCCTTAAATGACCACAACAGCTAGAGCTAAATCAGGCCAAA